GCATCACCACCGACTCCCTGAAGGTGCCCGGGGGTGTTTATGTGGGAGGGCAGAAAAAGGGACAAACTGATTTAAAAATGTAAAAGAAGACACAAAACTGAAGAAAGAGACCAGAAAATTATCATAAACGAACACAAAATTATAAAAATGTGGAGGAATAGAGCAGAAAAAGGGACAAATCTATTCATTCTCACAATAAAACACATAAATTCCACATAAAAATCCTCTTAGTTTGAGTTAACTCATTTACTGCCAGCCATTTTCAGAACAGAGTCCCATAATGCCAGGGTTTTTTGAGCATTTTGACTGATTTTTCAAGAGCCACAGAATAGTTTGTGCTATGACTATGTAAACACCGAACACACCAAAAGAAAGAGTGGACTCTCTTCTTTCATCAGGAAAAAAAATGTGTTTCTACCTTATTCCGTTCTTCCTGGACTTGCGTCTCACCGGCGACATGTTCTCTCATAGCGAACCGTTACCTTTTTCTTATTTGCCTACAGTCTATGCTCATCTCCCATCAAAAGTGGCACTGCCCCCTAGAGGGTCAATTTGTTACTACATACTTTGTCTAGAAGCCGATATTTACGGACAAGCTTTAGCAGATCGTACCTCAGCCACTCTCGTTAAAAAACATAAAAGACGTCTATAGACGTCTTTGGCAGCCGATGAGTTAAAGGATCAGGTTGAGGGTGAGTCCTGACTCCTCTTCCTCTCCCCAGTCTCTGATCCCGGACATTAAGGTGGAGGCCGTGGTGGATCTGCACCCCGAGGAGCTGCAGACGTCCGGAGACGAGGATCCGCCGGACGCCTGCAGCCCCGCCGACCCGGACCTCAAGATCCGCCGGACGGTCACCCAGGTGAGCCCGCCCTCTTCTTCCTCGTCCTCCTCTTCCTCCTTCTCTTCCTCGCCCGCATCTTCCTCCTCCTCCTCGTCCTCGCCCTCCTCTTCCTTCTCCTCCTCTTCCTCATCGCCTCTCCTCCTCTTCCTCATCGCCTCTCCTCTTTTTCCTGATCGCCTCTCCTCCTCTTCCTCCTCGTCCTCATCGCCTCTCCTCTTCCTCCTCCTCCTCTTCTTCATCGCCTCTCCTCTCTTCCTCCTCCTCCTCTTCCTCATCGCCTCTCTTCTTCCTCCTCCT